ATACTTAGGAAAAAGTTGCCATTACAACTCAAGGTGAAAAGCATATATTTTTAAGTTGTAGATACTTCAGGGGCTGTTATAAGCAAAATTGGTTTTATCATTGAAATAAGTATTCTTGCAGAGATTGTCATTTGGAAGTTCTCCTTCCAGAGGTAAATAGCTCTGAAAATTTATATCACACGACAGATATTTCAACAAGAGGAAAGCCCAAGTTATAATACTAATTATTCTGAGGTAAAGAACTTAGGTTTGTGCCCACTGGAAATTAAAAATCTGCTTTAGTTTAAAAAAACAAATCTAGAAGATTGTTATGTCAAGACATAGAACTAGAGTTCAGATTTGCACTGAACCCTTGCTTAGCTAAAATTCAGGTGAAACTGCTTTGTATTTCAAGAGATAAATGGCATTTTTTATGAATAGCAAAACAATGGGATGAAAGTAAATACAGTTTCATGCTGCAGTTTGAATGGAGGGACACTTTACATTCATTTTGCTAATTTGTCCTTTTTTGGTCCTGCTTGTAGAAATGTTCTTTTTTCCCCAGAACGTGATCTCTCATTGCCAATCCATACAATTATTTATTTTCCCAGGAAAGAAAAATGAAGTTTGGAGCACCAAAAATTGATTTAGGTGTTACAAAGGCATTTCAGGTACATCCTGTAGCAGCTGTAAAACATTGGCCTGAATTTGGCTGTAAATTTCATTGATATTTTTGCAAGTAAGGTTGCATGGAATAATCCACTCATTGACATTCCAGTATCTCAAGGAATTTAGAAATAGTAGTCACCATAATTTAATGGTAAAAAGTACTCTATTTCTTGATCGTGGCATCATGAAGGGAACTGTAATGTGGAAGAATACAACCTTTATGTTCTTTTAAGTGATTTTTATAGTATATTAATTAGGCAGTTTGTGATTAGTATATTAATACCAATTACAATATATGCATTGCCAATGGACTTACAAAAGTTGCAAAAGAAAAAACATTCTATGTTCTGTTCTATAATTTTTAAATATATAATATTGTAAAATATTTTATGTACATAATTTTCTTGTATTTTTCTCTAGACTTTGGCAAAGCAGAATCTGGCTGATTTTAAGTATAATACTTTAAAGACATTAAAATTATGAGATCCTGACTGATATCTACCTATCCATGTTTTCCTGTTATTCCATTGTTTATTATTTTTCCACTTTTGATTTGCAGTTTTGTTCATAGAATTGAACATAATTCATGTTTTAAACTACACTTTTGTTGCAAAAAGGCATACCGGGATTCATGATGTTACTAGAACCTTAATTTTACTGTTAAAACATCATCTTCTTTTCATAATTTCTGTGGTGTATAAAGACACTCTGACCTCCTCTTGCCATAGCAACCACATCTTTTGGTTTTACTAAAAGAAAAGGAAAAACTGCTTGAAATGATAAAGTTTAATTATTAATTTTAGGAAAGTTCTCCTTTGATTTACCATTGTTATGTCCTTCAGAAGGGAAACTGTTGATTACAAAATCTCTCGCTGGTAACAAATTATCTGTTACAATGAGGCCCTTAAGCAATATTGGGAGAGGCAAGACAAATTAAAGCCTCATTCTAAAAAAGCATTCATGGGTACAAAAGATGAATTACAATTTTATTTATCCTCTAAATTGCAGTTACTCACCTTGGAGTATGTGAATTGTTGAGAGTTTTTATAGATGTTTAGATTATTCTGGCCTTGGCTCTTGCTGCAAAATTTTTTATAAATGGCACATCTGAAGAAGGTTAATTCAGTAATTTAATATCTGAAATATCTGAAGATTATTTCAAGTTTTTTTGGTAGTGGAGAACCACCTAGATCTCAACGTCTACATTTTGAGTACTATGAGCTTATCCTTCACCTCACCAACAATTTATCTCTGTCTCTGTTGTACCCCTGGATATCACTCATCTCTCTTGTGTCATCTTTGGACCTCTTGCAGTTCCATCAGCTTTTCCCTTCTTTTCTTGGCCCCCATAATGATGTTTTTCCTTGATAAATCCAAAGCCCTTTGCTGGTAGATGTAATCTTTAGACTGGCTTGAACCAGAGTGGTGAAGGGTAACTGCATTCCAGCAACACCTCATTTCCCCTTCACTTCTTTTCCATGGATGTTATGTCTTCAGGCAGGACTACATTATTTTCCCTTTGCCCTTGCTGTTAGTAATGGCTAATATTTAATATTTCATGCAGTAATGGTCTGAAATGGGTCTAGTTCTGCTCTGGAGTGATCACTTTTTGCCTTGCGCTCACTCCCAGATAGACTTAGAAAGCAAATTTCTTCTCCTGTGTTGATTTAGATCAGATGCTACTACCAATAACAAATGGAATTAATCCATGTGAGTGAAATAACCAACTTTCTCCTCACAGTGCATCTCTCTTTTTAGAGATGGGAATATCCATGTCATTTGGAGCATCAAAATAGCAAATCTGACAGATTAATAAAATACCAAATTAGGGTAATCTGACTCAGTCTCTCAGTTCTGCTCTGATCATCTTCCTAATTTGTGGGGTGAAATCAGGACTGAGATTCAGTGCTGAAAACTCCCCTCAAAAAAAAAAAGAAAAAAGCTAATTACTGGCAGTAGGAATCTTTTACTGTCTAACATTTTTATATTTCTTTTGGCTGGAGTCCTATGCTCTCTTTTACAACTTGAAGTTAAATCAGTGTATACAGTAGGATCCTACCATAATTCCATATATATATAGGTTATTAAATTTTCCTAGTTCCTTATGTCATATATAAGAACTGCATTCTTACGTAAAAGGAGGTTACATTGTTAAAAATGTATTGGAAGCTGCTGACTATTCCATGTTTTTTGGATATATATTGGATGAATGATCAGGTTTCTGTTTTATGTGACACTGAATTATCAGATTGACTATGTGTGTTGATATGCAGAGGTTTTAAACATTTTTAAGAACTAGATCAACATATTTTTCATTAATTATGCCCCATAACATATTTTTATTAAAATAAACAATAAATCCCTAAATAATTAGTGTTTATTAATATTTTATATATATATTATTTATTTTATTAACACAAAGAACATGTGGTTTCTTCATTTTTGCTTGCATTTAAGTATAGAGTTGAAATATTTTTTGCTTTTCTTAGCAATATCTACAGGTGTTAGGGAAACAAACAAACAAAAGTCTTGCTAAAATTTTTTTATTCAGCTTAATATTCAGTGTAGAGTTGTTGGAATCATCCAAGGCTTGTGCCCTCCCCCATTATCCCATAACTCCCTGGGTAGTTATAGGTTTCCTCATATATGTCAGAAAAGTGTTCCAGAAATTGCATTTGGGACCTATCCACATGTAGGATTTTTCCTTAATGGATGTTTCCTGGGACTTCTTATTGAGAGTGGTGTGTAAATGTGCATTTCATGAAATCTGTCTCTTGGAATGCACTACATTAAAAGGCTTAAAACTGACATATTTATAAACATTTTGCTGTCAAATATTCATGTGAATAGATGTCCATGCTCTGTAAGTAACACAACAAATTGTTTAGGATTACATCGATGAAAGAAACCTGGTAAACATTTACATTCAAATGCATCTTTAGAGATTCTGGTGTCTCAAACCAGATTTCTTACCGCCTTTTTAATATTACCATAATTTTTTTTACTCTTTTTGTTGGTCTACCACTGATTTGATTTTCATCTTTCGCTGGAATAGTGCAAATCAAGTTCAGACTCAATGCCACTGAGTCACAGCAGTTCCACTGTTACCGAGTTCAATCGCAGTCAGGCAGGGACCAACATTTTAAAGCCTGGTGTATTTTAACAGTGCAAAAAGTGCTGGTGTTGGAGATTATCAAAGTAGCTCTGATCAGGTTGGTTACCCCTCCTGTACTGAAATACCCTGCAGAGACATTATTCCAGGTCTTGGAAACCATGTGCACATGTTAGCAAAGATGTGCTTGGGCTCATTAGCCTTGATTTTCAGCAGGGGCAGTTTGGGCTTAGCTGGCACTCAGCAGATGGAACTGGGCTGCCTCAGCTTCCACAAGCTCAGCGACCTCTCCACCCAACACTATGTTTTGTATACATGTGCTCTGAGGACCTACTAATATGTTTTTGTTGATGATGTCACCTTTTATCAATATTAATGTATAGTATCTTTTTAATAGTGCATATATATTCTTCTAGTATATAGTAAACATACAGTGGTTTGTAGGAACTTCTGTAATATTAATTTAAAAATAATACCTAGCAAGTATTTAGAGTCCTTTTGTTACCACAGTTCACCTCCAATTGCTTATCAGTGAAAACATGCCTTGTTGTTCTGCAGGCTTTTGTCATAATCCTTGTTGAGTCTAGAATTAATATCAAGATAATTAGAACTACAGGATAAAGCTTTTTCTCATGTTGGTAAATCCTTCTCCTCCATCTTGTCATGATCTTCTATTGAGAATAATCATTGAAATGTTTCAAAAGGCATCTACCCTCATCTGTGGGAGGTTCATGTGTTTGCTGTGTGCTCAAACCCTTGAATCATATTACTCGACATTGCCAATCTCTGGAGCTGCTCACTTAATAAAATAGCATGTTTCCTTAGAAGGTGGGAAAAATATGGAATATCAGAATATGTATTATTAAAATCCATTTCAACATGAATTCAGTTTTACAATGAGTTCAGCGCTTTGGCTTCATTTGAACAGGCAAGACAACATTTTTTGGTTGTGGTATAACCATGCATTTATCCTTGAGAAAACTGAAAACGGAAAGAATTGTGCGAGGGCCAAGGAAACTTGTGAAAAAAAAAACAAATGGGAAGAGGTTACAAAAGCAGACCAGGGAGAGTCACATTTAAAGGTTATTCTGTGCCAATTTTGGGGGTACCAGCATTGGAGTTATTGCACATTGGCTTTTACCAACATGATGTTCAGTTATTATTGAATGTGTTATGTATCTAATCTTGCATTTATGGGAGAAGGTAAAGTTTAATGCTCCCTGTGTCTCTCTCTGTTTAGTTCTAAGCATTGGAGAAGGTGGATTCTGGGAAGGCAGCACCCGGGGACATATTGGCTGGTTTCCTGCAGAATGTGTTGAAGAAGTTCAGTGCAAACCAAATGAAAGCAAAGCAGGTAATCAGATCAAGTTCCTGTTGACTCCTGACATGACAAATGCCATGTGTCTGTCCCAGCATTGTGTTGTACAGCAGAGTGTTTATGAAATACTGGGAATGCGAAAGTTGAATAAAGCTGAGCTGCTGAATTGAAAACTAAAGGTGGATTTATTAAGGAGATTTTACTGTTCAAGCAATCAGACTTTCTTCTGAGTGACTAGAAGCACTGCAAAAGCTTTTACACAGAACTGAGTGTAGACATTTTGTAAAGGATTTTGCTGTGTATCATCTTCCTAAAATATGGGAGGGTGGCTAATTAGGCAATTAAATAATGGAAGAAAAACTGACCACTCATCTCCCAATGTGAAATACTCATTTAGCTCTTCATAGCAATAAAGATCCTTCTGTTTGCCTTTTCCTAAATTTTAGAGGAGGCATCCATTAGAGGGATGTCTTAAATACATCCTTACTGATGACAAAGGAAATAGAATCCTCCTTTCTCATACATGTGTGTTGCCACAAGTGACTTTAAGCAAGGAGTCTTTATAGGTCTGGTATAATAAAAGAAAAAGAAATCTACATTAAAGCATGTTATTTTAAGAATTACCTCCCATCTCATCATTTCTTTGCTTCTAAGAATTAAGATGTGAGGACATCCTCTCTAATTAAAAGCTCATTATAAATGAGCTCTGAGAATATAATTAATGTTCTCCGGGAGTGGATGCAGTTTTAAATCAACTGTTGATGTGCTTTAGATCTCTGTTGTATTGATTAAGAACTTTTGGCATTGCACAGATGATACACTGAAATTTATGCATCATATCATTCATTCGCAAATGGGGCTTTTTAATGCATGTCATTATAAACCACAAGGTATAATTTCTTTATGTATATATCTATAGCAACTGTATAAATGTGATAGTATGGAACAGAATGCACTGGGCAAGGTCCCAGAGTAGTAAGGATTAGGAAATATTTATAATATTTGAGAGGTCTTTTAATTTCATTGTTTTTATTGGAAGCTGTGGTAAGATGGAATATGAATTTGAGGGATGAGCAGAAGAGGAGGCAAAAAGTTAACTTTTGGAATATGAAAACTTGAAAAGAATGAGGGAGCAAGACATTAGGGACACTGCTCTAGATAACTAAACACTGTGTGACAAGGTTATGCTTTCTTTTCTATTTCCCTTTCTCAAAAGTAAAAGAGGAGGAGACAAAACCAGATGTAATATTTGGAGAGAATGGAGTTAGACTCTGAGTACAGAGGGAGAACAGTTGTGTAGTTCTTCTAAGGGTTTGAGAACATAAAATTTAAAGATGGAGGTATATTAAACAGGAGGAGTATTGAGGTTGGAATTGGCCAGTTTAGGAGCAGTGCAGTTTTCAAAATAAGGTGTAAAAAGGGGGACCACAATTTGCAATTTTAGTGTTATTTCATTAGTTGGAAGACCAGTGAATTCAGTCAGTGCAACATGAACTGGTGAGAAGCCACCTGTGAGTTGTTCTAAAGGTCCTTCAATAAAACCACTTGGTGGAAAGACTTCAGAAAGATGTGCTTTGTATGAGTAAGTCATCAAAAACACCTCTCTTGAGTCTGTCATGACAACTCTGCATTGAATTTGAGCTGTGCACATGTTTCCAAATCAGAAGAAAATTCTGGGGAGGGCATTAAGTGATGTTCTAAAGTATGAAAGAAATTTTGCATCTTTTTAGTGGTTTTGAAGAGAAGATAACCACACCTGTCACAAATCCTTAAAGATCTTTCTGAGAAATACTTCAGGAAGTAAATTCAGTCTGTGACACAATTGCTTTAATATATGACACAATTTTTTTTGAGCAAAAATTTCTTTGATCATTTGAAGGGGAACGAAAATTAAAAATTGTCATAAGAATAACAAAAGGATTACCAAAGTTGGAAGCAATAAAATAATATAAACAGAAGCATCTTACAAATTTTCAGAAGTGAAATTATGAAAACTTATGCCACGTGTCTGGCAAAACACCAGAGTAATTTATAACTATTTCATACCTTCTGATTGTTTTCCTATTTGCTTATGGTACAGCGTGAATTATAATGGCTACGGATTTAAATACACCATTCTTTTACTCTAAAAAAGATGAAAATATAATTAAATGGGCACAAAATGGACACTGTGAACTTGTGCACTCCCATATTTTGCTGGACTCTCCCTGTCCTGCACCCAGAATGAGGTTCAGTGCTCCTCTGTGTAATGTGATAGAGGTTGGAACTGGGATTATGAAATCTATGAAATGCACGGTATGTGCCATATTATTATTGAAATACGGTATGGAGTGAAAGCAGCTGATGACAGGATTGCTCTGTGCAGTTTGCTGCATCCCCTTTGCATAGGAAACAATGGGAATGAAAGAGGAAAGCTTCACAAGCAAAAATCAGCCAGTACTCCCTCTGAGTACAAATGCAAAAGTAATTTAGAAAAATGTGTTAAGCATGGGGAAATGATTAGAAATTAAATTAGGTCTACTGGGATGGCTGAAAGAACATCAGCTGAGAAACATCACAAACTTGTGCCAGTTGCAAGAATTTGCATTGTGGGCTTTGCAAAGCAGCAGAACTTCTTATGGTAATGATTTCGAAAGTAGATCATTTCAATGTGGAGGAAATGAAGCTCAAACTCAGCCTTTTTCAGACCAGCCCCACAGTAACGGTTCTTTCCCATAAATGAGATTTAGGAACATTTCTTCCAGCAGCTTCCCTTTGCTATTAAGTTAGAACAATAGTGTTTAATAGCAGCTTGTCATGTGCATGCCATGAATGAAAGAGAGAGGAATAGTTCTTGGAAAAAAACAAACCAGAATTAAACACTACATGCCCAGTAAAACTGGTGGGCAGGTGTTTCTTGTCATGCTGATGTATAGTCTCACTTCTAAGAAAAGTTCAATTTTTAGGGAACTTTATTGCCATCCCAACTGTTGTCTGGAAGTGGGAAGTACAGAACAGCACCTGATTCCTGTCCTCTCTTCCAAGGTACCATGCCAGCTTGACAGGTTCTCTTTAAAAAAAAAAAGTCATATTGACTGGCATTAATTCTATTTCCCTTCTTTAATCCTTCATTATTTTAGTCTTGTAGGAATTATTCTGTTATTTTGCTAGGATTGATGCCAGGCTTATGAGCTTCTAATTACCCAGGTTGTCTCATTTGCCATTTAATAACACCAGCACAGGACCTGCTGCCTTCCAGTCTGAAGGAGTTCCCTTGACATTTTGAGATCTAATAGAAAAAGAACAACAACAAAGAAAATTGTTATCGTGATCTGCTAAATTCTTTTCCCTGCTTTTAAAAAAATCCTGACACACAAAACCTTTGTACTATCTCATTTTAAAAAGTGTTTTTAACATTGTCCAGAATTGTCTTCGAGTGAGAGTGTTCCTTCAGATGAGATTGGTACATCTTGCTCTTTCCCTGCACAAACACAGAATACAAATGTTACATATTTACTTTCTGCATTGACAGTTTTCCTGTGTTATTCAGTAATGAGCCAATTTCATCCTTAAATGTCTTTGTATTCCTAAATATGTTAAAACATACTATTTGTGCTTTTTTTGCTAAAATGTTCTGCTAAAATTGAAAAAAAAGTTTCTCCTGCCTAAATATAGATGTTTCCCTTTACTTTTCTTCCATCAGAGGGTATTACTGCAACTTCAGAGACTTACTACAAAAATATTCTCTGTTAGACTTGTGATTTTATGCTCCATGTCCTTCAGAATTCAGAGCTATAGATTATCTGATTGCTCATAACCAAAGTGAGGCATTCATTTTCAAGTAAAGAGTTATATTTAACTGCAATCTGACTTTATCATTTATTGTTCCTTCCTCCCTAATGTGCCTGGAGAACTCTTAGATTTCACAAACACTACTGAAATGAAGGCAGGCTCAATATGTCTAATCCTTGCTGTCTTGGGCTCCTCAGTGCACTTTTCCTTGAGTTCCAGCCTCATTTTTAATATTGTCCTAGGAGGACTTTTCATTCCTTAGCCTCCTCTGTGCATTCCTCTACCCGGTGGCCTTGGGATACACCTTATTAGCAGTTGTAGCAGCTATAGGAGTCCTGGGAGTTTAGTTCAGACTAAATCTAATCCAGGCATGTGGCTCCAATGACCATTAACAGTCGTTCAAGAACCCATTTTTCCATGAAAGAATCCAAGTCCAAACTCTGAGGTGTCTCGGTCCTGGGGGCTGCAGCAGCAGTAGCACTTGCAGAGCACATTCGTCGCCCAGCCTAAAATGCAAATGTAGATGCTCCCATGCTGACCTCTAGTGTCACTGGTGCTCCCAGCACACACTAAACTGGGATTTCTCTTTCAAAATGCCTCGGAATCATTTAGGTTGGAAAAGACCTCTGAGATCAAGGCCAACCTTTGACTGATCACCACCTTGACCACTAGACCATAGTACTAAATGCCACATCCTGTCCATTCTTGAACACAGTGTCTGTGCTTAAATGTTTGGTGTCACTTACTCCTGAGTTTCCAGCAGCTTGAAAATATAATCATGGATTATCCAGTAATACCATAGTTCCCTTGGCCATTTTTTTTTACATATGTAAAAGAGTTGCAGCCTTGGCTGTGGCCCCTATGGACATATTTCGGCTGCTCGAATTTCTAAAACACATATTTTCCTCAGTTTATGTAGCTGATTGTTAATGTCAAATGGGCTGTTTCATCTTTCACCAAAATTAAATGTTGGTGTTCTTTTTTTTCTGCATTTTTAAACGTCTCAGGGTAGTGATGTGGTAGGTATATTCCAAAGCAGTGTTATTCCTGAGTGTACTCCATGAGGCAGATAAACACCAGAGCATCCTACAGAAATATGGCCTCTGTGTGTGTGTGTGTGTGCGCACCCCATTGCATCCCAGGGTGGAATGGAAATGGAATGTCCTGAGCCTGAAAGTCCTGTTAGTTCCAGAGCTCCTGTAAATCTGGAATTTGTGAGTTGTAGCTCTGATCCTCCCAGTAGTACAGGAGTCTTGGTTTACCAA